AACATAGACCGAAGATTAGAGTAAAGAGGTGTTTTAATGATCATTTAGATGCAGACATCGCTGTTATCGAGAGAATATAATAATTAAAAATTGAAATATTTTAGCACATTATACATCATCGAATATAAATAATTATTACAAAATTACTATTAATGTGAAATAACTTATCCGACTTGAATTTGACGTATGATTATAAAAAAATTTGAGTTTTATAATTTAAGAAAATTCAAATGCGAGATAGGATATAGGGAGTAATATCATGAAGAAACTTATGAAATTGAAGGAATACTTTTCTCTAAGTCCTCGTCGTATTTTAAGAAATATTTTAAATTACTTATTCACGCGATAAGGTTATTGAAATTCAAGATCGTCTCGAACGTTACGCTTGTCGCAAGTCTCGAGGAAATCTTGATCTCAAGAAAACTTCGTCGCGCGCAGCAATTCATTATTACGTCGCGCTTAATATCTTGCAAGCAATTTATTACCGTGAGACATTATCGTGCTGAATTTATGTCGATTATCTCGACTAAATTTTTAAGAGACACTAATTCATCAGAAAGGAAACTGTATCGAAGATGAGTGATGCGAAGAATTTGCGAATGATGCGAAAAATGTGTTGTAGTTTCTTACACAGTTACATACACAAAGAAAAAGAGTTCTCTGAATATAATAAAATTTCTTTAATTGAGACAAATTTGTCTTTTGGAATAGAGCAAACGAATGATTGATTCCACAAACAGAATTGTTTGGTTTCTTAAATAATATCTCTTTACATCAAATAACATATTTCTTTTATATTTCCATCCAAACATTACAATTGTTGTTACAAGCGATAAATTACTTTTTTACTCAAACAGAATGATATATGATATTAAATTATGTCTTTTATGTTAAACAAACTTAAACTAACACCTGTATTAAATCCAAACAAACTTTTTTCTCTATGTAAAAGAGAAAAAATGTAAGAAAATCTTTATAAACCTATTTAAAAGACAAGGACAAATACATAATGCGTCGAAACGAATATGATGGTGAAAAATTGTTGATATTTCCTTACGATCCCTTGCGAGTCGCCATAAGAGACCATGTTCTTGCATTATTCTCCCCTCATGTCATCGGATCCAATTTGCTTCGCGACGTTGTTGCACCCCGACGTAAAACTGTCTCAAGGACTCGGCTTCCTTGCCTGTGGTGTCGTTCTTTCTTTTTTCTTTCTTTTCTTTTCTTCTTTATTCGCTCTCCGTTTTCTCCTTCGTACAACCGGTTAAATCCCTGGGGAGTAAAGTGCGTTTTTCCCTGTATTTGGCGCGACTTGCCATCTCTGCACGTTTGCTGCTTCTGTTTACATCATTTATTGAATAATATCTGCTTTGTTGGATATCACGTGAAGTACGCGTAGATTGAAAATCCTACCCGATCAGCCGCTATTGTGAATAAGCGTTCTCGTTTAATGGAGATCCATGTACTGGATAAATCGTCCGTTTCAACGAGCTTTCAGTCCTTGACCTCTATAGAAGCGGATACTTTCGCGAGAATAAAATAATAATCCAGATTGAGAGCTTCTCGTTTGCAACGGTGCATCGCGCCGTATCACTAATACCCGCGCATTAATGATATTTGCAATATTAAATATACCGTGAAACATGAAGAAAGAGGAAGGAACCAACACTTTGGTGAGAAAAACATCTCGCACGTAACTTAAGATTTTTTTTCTAATTGACCTGTATACGGTGGCCGAGAAAATTCTTTTGATAAGCAGAGAGAGGAAGAATCGGGAAAAAATTTATCTTCGGAGCGTTACTGTTACGTTCCGCACAGCAGATAAATGTGCCTGCATTAACAATGCGGTATTACTTACTGGCGCGATAAGTATGTTTATTTTTGTCTGACGCATGAACCACAATAAGAGAACTCGTATACATATTTTAGCCGGCGTGCGTTGCAGCACCGTTGAATTTCGTTTCACTCTTAACGATAAATTCCAGTTTCATTTTTTTGGCGTTAGTATAATTTACGGAGGTTACGCTTTCGGTGTCGACGCGCGCGTTTCTTCGTTCCCAGCGGGAACGGCATTTTAAGCGACGTTTATCAACCGTAATTCAAGATCGAACCACAGACCGATGATTCGCGCGAAACGATCTGCAGGGAGCGGGCTAATAGTGAAAGCCAGATATCTAACGAGATATTCGCGCAACGGTAACGGCCTTTTAGGTGCAGCCACGTGATATCTCTCTACTATTTGTTTTCATGAGATATTCGTCGCGTGCATTCTCGCCCGTGGCGTTACGGCGCAATGAGAAAGGAAATTTAGGAGCTGCGGCACTGCGACCCGTTCAGCAAACCGTTGAATTTTATGCTAACGTCTTCGAGGAGACGGCGGCGGAGCACATTCGATTAACTCGTTGACGAGAAATTAGACGGCGCGTAAAAGTAATTGCACGAGCCGCCCTCCGTGAGACGATACTGAATTTGCGTGAAAAATTTTGGCGAACTTTCGGAGAGTAAAAGAAAGAGGGGAAAAGGAGAGGAAGAAAAAAGTGTTAAGCGGATGCATAAGGATGCGATGTTTTACTCGGCGGCAATCCGAGCTGTCAATCTTCGCTCCCATCCTCTTCCCCGTACCCGTTCACCCTTGCTTCGCGCGCACTAGAATAGACGCGATGGGGGAAAGCTTAACTCTTATTTATCGTGGCGCATTTATCGCGCCCTAAGCGTCTCTCTACTCTTTTATTAAAGTACGGCCGCGTCGGAAATCGCATCGGAATCCGTTGCGCAGAGTCAACCGACTATAGCGCCATAGCTGCAGGCCGAATCGGCTAACACAGGACGGCTGAGAAAATAAGAAGAATGAGAGACGAGGAGGCAGGGGGGCGGATAGTGATTTTTCAGAGCCTGAAACTCGACTGTTTCTATAGAGCTGGAACACGAAGTGGTTGCGATTGCCCGATGCGTCAATCCTCCCGTCGATAACATCCGATGGAAGTTAATCAACGCTACGTTTCGCTTGATTTCGTAAGGACGTGTTAACGGTCCATTGTCATAAATACCTGAAAAGGATACGATAATTTTTTTTATTGTGAACAGGATGTCGTACTGAATTAAAAGCTCGGGAACGACGTCTGTACACATCTTTCTCTGCAGGCCCATTTTCGCCGTATTTGTCGACGACGTCCATGAACAACGCGATTCCTTATGAAAGGATTAGTTTTCGCGTTAGTCTCCATATGGGAAAAGAGGAAAGAACTTAGAGAGATTAAACGTTCCGGGCATCGGCAACGCGGATATCTGCTGGCGCGTCGAGAGTCGCGTCTGTACGTGGTGAAGTACGTACCTAGCGTATAGGAAAGGCGAGTTCATAGGAGCAAGGCAGAGTTCCAAAGATATATTACTGGCTCAACAACCTTCTAACAATAATCTATACCTAACTTCCATCGTCCTCCACCATCCCGACCGCACTTACCCTTCTCGCCACGACGTTGTTTCACTCTCTCACTCATTCATTCACTCACTCACTCGCTCGCTCGCTCGTTCATTCTCTCTCTCTCTCTCTCTCTCCCCCTCTTTATCTTTCATCCTTTTGCTCGTTGTTGAGCAAGCGACGTGCCCCCAAGCGCTTTCTATTTCTCTCACCCTTGTACAGGGTGGCCCGTTTTCCTTGCCTCGACGTGATATCTCGCGAAATAGCGGAGATACGGACATTTTGTCGGAATGGAAGTTGAATAGCTTCGCGACGAGATCGATTAAATCCTCGAAAGTGAGTCTGAAGTCGAGGTTATTTCGACTGGTCTAAGATGTACTTGAGTTTTTTCGGCGCTCTCCGCTCTCTCTCCGCTACAGAAAATTCCTCGATAACTATCGCATGTCTAACGCTGAAATACAATGATTTGCTAATTGCTTCCGACGTCTGGCAGCTACTTGGAATTACAGGCGTCACTCATTTATTTAACTTGGATCTTTGCTCTAATTAGATCGTTAATCTAATTTCCAGTGAGCACACGGTGCTTAATCAAATGGCGATCTAACGCACAATACCGAGTAAGATCTGCAATCGCATTTTCATCTTCAAACTAAAATCTAGTCCCCACTTAAATCTAGTCGAAGGTACATTAATTCTCCATTTCAGATAACCTTCGAAACTATTTGACTTCCATTTGAACTAAATTTTAACAGAAAGCAAACTGCTTCCAGAAACCGAGAATAAATACGGATAGGTAATTTCCAGTGGAAATGAAACGAACACCTTGTATATAGGTATGTCATTTCAGGAGCCTTGACGTTAAACTCTCCAACGAACCGCCCGTAATTTCACTTGCGCCGCCGTAGTCCTCGGAAACGTTTAATGTTATATAGCTGGCAGGACTTCCTTGCCGTTTGCCCACTAGTGTATCCTCCTGCCACCGATATGACATAGTGCCTCGAACAATAGCTTCATGCTTGAAGCTTCCTTCGCCTCCTTCGATACGATACGAGTGTTATGAGGAGCCAATTGTAGGTCTAATTTCCGACAAATTGGCCAATATTGAGTATCGATTTATTATTGCCGAATTGTCTTGAATGAAACGCTCTAACCAGCGGAGTATTTAACATTATATGCCCATTTAAAGATTCTCGGCGAGATATGAGAGAAAAGTTATATCTTTGAGTGAATTTTAGATAGATTTTGTTTTAACAGAATTTTAACTTTAATTGGAGATTTAGTTATAAAAAAGTATAATCAAAAAATCGGGAAACTACGATAAAATAACCTTTAACATACAACATTAAATAATCTTTCTTAGCATTTTCGCTAAAAGCGGATCAACTTCGAATTCGTTGAAAGAAATCTCTCATTAAAGTTAGAATCACGAAGGGAACGTGTGTGCTTAATAAAGGTAAACTTAAATTTCAAATGTAAAGAATATACATATTAATTCGAGGGGGAGGTCGTAAATCCTCTGTCAACGGCAGAGGACACGAACGCGCGGACATCCACGCCAGCGGACAGCGTTTTCAATTCCTACCCCAGCATTCGTTTCCGCGACTCGCGCTGTCTGCGGAAGGACACTCTTCCCGTTGTTAGCCCCGGATCTTCGTCGTCTGAGCGTACCAGTCGAGGTCGCGCGAGCATGCCCATCCTTCTTGGGGCTCATCACGACGGTTGCCAGGATCACGAGTAGGAGGTCTCCCGAAAATTCGAGAGTCGTCGAGTGAACTCAACGTCCTGTGCTTCGTTCTCGGAGAGCAAGCTTGGCATGGATACCTCCTGAGAGAACGACAAGAAGATGGAGAAAGACAGATAGACGGATAAATATAGGAAGAGAAAGAGAGAGAGAGAGAGGCGGAAGAGAATGAGAGAAAATAGAGACTGAGAGAGAGATAGGTATTCTTGGAACAAGCGTGTCAAGCAGTGCAGCCGAAGAGTCCACAGCGCGCGCCGCTTCCCATGAGAGATCCGGTGGCGCGCTTATGTCACCGGGCGAGAGAAATTCGAAGCGACTGCGGAAATGTTTGCACGCGTCGCGACACGTGTCGTCTCCACCCGCTGCAGTTTCACCATGTCCGACTCTGCGAAAAATCCCCGCAACAACGCCACGAGAGCCCCTACATGTGCGCGAGAAACGCGGCAATGAGCGCTCTTACCCACCCGGTATGACGTAGCGGATACGAGAGCGTGGGAAGGGCAATGAGACGCACGAAATTATACGCGGAGATTTAGGAAGATTTCTGAGATTTCCCGCAATTTTCCGATCTCTTCGTTTCTTTCTCCTTCCTTCCTCTTCTTTTTCCTCGCAGAAATCGAGTCCTTTCACAGCGGGGAGAAGCGGACCGCCGAGATGCGCGCGTCAAAGATATGATTTTGAAGGGACCGCGGTGCGTCGAGAGAGTTGCACGGAGAACTTCTTGAAAACGGCGAAACTTTCTTGGATCCTTTCTCACGTGCAGAAGGCGTCGGTAGGGTGAACTTGGCGAAAATTTTAAACAAACGCGCGTCACCAATATTTACCTTCCGCACCGCATTGTAACCCGACGCTTGAGCCTCCTTTTTTCCAAAGATGACTCGTATACATCTATTTTTCTACATACACACGTAGCACAACGCGACAGTTATAATCTAGCGTTTTCGTTCCACGATTTATTCACATGATTTAACACATGACAAACGCTAGGCACGATAATCGCCTTAACTGATAATCGTCAGGAAATAATTATAAATACTAAAACGTTTTATCTGGCACTCGACTGACGCGAATTAAAGCGTTAGGCCGCGTCGTTGAAACAACGGGCCTTCGCGTGACACCGTGCCGACAGAACGACTGGACGGAAAAAGTCGTTTCGTCGAGTGGCGCGTTTTACGCGCAACGACATATCCCGTGCGGGAAAAACGCTAACGCGTCGGCGTAATTGAGCGTAACGCGACCGATTAAATTTTACGCGCGCGTGTGCGTAGTGTACGCAGCGGTGTACGCGTTAGCACGCACGTACGAGCGCACACTCACGCACGCCCGCAATTTTCCTCTCGCGCGCGCACACACGTGTGCGACCGCTCAGCTCAGTTGCAGCGCGCGCGTTACCAATCGTTCGATGGTAATGCGGGTGTAATGCTCGTAACGGCGGTGGTAGGAAGAGCCGTCGAGGCGATTAAATTTGCACTGTGGATCGCGACCGCGGATTTTGTCTCGGGCACAGCTACGAGACCCGTAACAAGGTTGAAACATCATTCGTAACATTGGTAATCCCGCCGATTTCACAAAGATATCCCATTGTTATCGGGATAACCGGTATTCTGCCGTACAGATCTCCGTAGCAGAGATTACTCAACTGCAATCTTCATATTTCACTCTTTTGTAGTTTCGGCCGTACAGGAAACGTACCAAAACTGACATACATTTTTAGGCTCTGAGACGGAGACTTTCAAATGTTGAAGGTAAATCACGTGTTGAGTTTAAAAGTAAAATTTATGTACATGGATGCAAACCAGCAACATTTTTCCACCAAAATATATGGTATTAAAATATATATGAAAATTATCACAGATTCCCTTATAAATAACTACTTTTTAATTAATATATTTACCATTGTATTATGCTTATACTCAATAATTACAGAGAATTATAATGAGGTACGATTTAGGTGACTGGTACGATTTAGGTAACTCTCCCCTATACTGCTCCTTTATTGCGTAGAAAGGGATCCCCTGACGTTTCCACCCGAACATTTAAAACGAATAAACAAGAAAAACGAGGGAATATTAGTCACCGGTTACTTCAACTATTCTATTCTATGAAATATTTCACAGCAAAGTTTTAAGTACGTCGGCTAAAAGACCATTAAATTCAAATATCTCGATTCCCAGAATAATCTAATCCAATCCTAACTGATTTCATTTTTCTTGCGGAACTTTCCAGGAGAATTATGTCAGGACGCTTGACGTCATGCATTTAAAAATACACACGTAATTTCTTCATATTATTGCACGAAACGTAAAATACATCTCTCGCTAGGAATCATTATGACGACCGCGGTGTTACTTCGATAAATTAACGAAGCAGCCGAGCCCGATTATCGCTATGATCACCGTCGTTAAACCAACACTGGTATCTATATGTATCGTATCGCGTTACCTGCTCGCTCGCTCGCCTCGGATATCTACTTGTAAACAAACTTCGTTTAAATTCATTTCCTTTGAAACCGTATTGAAAATCCATCCGCCGTGTGACGCGACGCTTCCTCGCGTAGGAGCGCGCTGTGCGAACACGCTCACGGCGATGCTGCCGCCGTGCATAATCGCGCGAATGCACACCGAACGAACGAATGAACGGAGGAGCAGCCAGCGACGGCTTCGCTCAAAGACCAGTAATTGAAACGCACGACTCCTAACAATATGATGCGCCGTGTGCAAGTATTGTATTATATACATGGTCGGGCGCTGCGCGGCAGCCGCATGCGCCATTACTGACGCGCCGTGTTGATCTTGCTCTTTGCCGTATTGTGTGCACGCAATACATTATTAATATAGTAGATATGTAGTTGCGAGCACGGATTGCTGGATCTCGAGGTAGCTGCCGTCGCGGTGGAAGCGGCGACGGCAGCCTCGGGACTAGTTTATTTTCTTACTTGAGAGTCGCGCGGCTGCTGCTACGATATTTATACGCAGGAGCAAACGTTGTCCTCGCGGTGTCTTTGTAGTATCGTCGTCATCGTCCTCCTGACTGCTTCCCAGTGAAACCATTGTCGTCTCCGTGGTGCTCGGTAGTTAATTAATGGAAAGGCCGTTGCGCTCGATTTTCAGCGTGTGTGACCCGATGAAAAACACGACTCGAGATTTCACCGGGTCGAAAGCGCACCCCGGGACGGAGATCCGTCAAAGACATTTCTGCCCGCGACGAAAGGCCGCCGCCATCGTGCAATGAAAATTCCCGGTGAAATTACATCCTCCGAAAGAAACGAGCCCGGAGAGCTAATTTAAAATCAGAAAATTTGAATTTCAAAGTTCGCCGAGTCCAAGAATGTTGAAGATACCGCGCGCAGGTATTATGGATGTTAATTTCTAGGGATTTCAGCGATCCGTTTTCACTCGGTATCCGCTTGATGTCGATTAAATTAAATTTCGATTGAATTAAATCCTTTTCAGCGCTTTTATTAACTCAGTTATCGTGCATTCTTGTTTTACCGTTTAAAGCGTCCCGCGGCGGATTAGTTTTTTTGTGACTTGTCCGCGCCTTGTGTATTCACTATATTTGCCAGGCGTGTATTGCTGATAACTAAAAATAATAAAAAAGCTATGAAAAAGTTACAAATTGATCTACAATTATTCAGTCACGAATTATTATTCAGAGTCTGGAAAAAGTTATTGCATATCCTTTAAAAGGATGTTGCAAGATGAAATGAGTTTGATAAGAATTCATTGAAACTTGCATTGCATATACATTGAAATATTATACAATTTATTGTTCGTGCAATTTAAACAAAATTGGCTATTCGAGAGCTGACATATTTGTAACTAAAGTTGTCACTTTATATATATATATATATATGTGTATGCACATATTTAAACATTTATATACCTCTTTCTATCATCTGTTCGTCTCTATTAGATCAACTGATGCATAAATAATGCATTAATAAGAAAAATTAGAAAATGATATTTTCGTATTTATAACATTGCGTACATGTCTATCTTAACTTCGTTTTAAATTAACATTTATTGTTTACGTGGTAAAATAAATGGAAAGTAATTTTCCTTGATAAATAATAAATTTATATCGTGTCCCCCTCGATGCGCTACTGAAAATACGGCATTAATAAATAATACATCCGAGCACATGTATCTCTTAATATTTATAAGAGTAATTTAATAATTATATTTCGTTTTAGAAGTGAAAGGACCAAGCGGTCTGAACGGAAAGTTCAATGTTATCTACTAAGGTGACACACGAGGCGCGAAATGTGTTAATACAGGCGTCACAGTCACATGACAACTGATTCTCTCATTAAAATTTATCGTACGTTTATATGTTTGAGGACGTCGTAGGTTCCCACGTCTATTTTAGCAGAATTCTCCGCCTTCTCATCCATTTCGTCCTCAAACAAGACTCGGTTACGCCAAAGAATCATATATGCGGTTACATTATATGCCCGGTCGTTATGCTCGCATATGCATGTTGCGTATCTGTTTTCATACATATAATAACAGATGCATTTCAGTGCACATAAATACAGGCCAAGCGATGTACACATAACATCGTAGAGCGCGTATCCTTCGGGAATTGCTTACACGGTGATACATCCTTCCCTTCGTTCTCGCTCTCTCCTTCTTCATTTCCCAACGCTAGTTTATCATCTACATATCGTACAGCTACCGTGTCATCCGGTAACGAAAGTCGTTACTGCCCTTCTCTCGTCTGTTGAAGCGATGTTTCTCTAAAATTCTCGTGTTACCCGGACGTTGATTAAAAAACTATAACGTTTATTGGAAAATTTTCCAGTGAAAATCTAATTAGATTACGAAGCATATCAGCAACATCGGCGAAGTAGGTTTCGCGGTTGAGCAAGTGTGTAACGCAACTTCATGTTCATTTCAGCCACGTGTTGGAATGCGCAATTGCAGCCTGCTTGCCATAATCGCTTTAGCTCTTAGTCTTGTGTTCAGAAATGCACGCGAAAAGTACAGTAGTGAAGACATATAACGTTGCAAAGTGCACACATGCATGCACGCGAATCGCAAATTTACTTTGATTACGTTGCTGCTTCTTTGTGAATAAATTAAATCCGTTGCAATTGGCAGAAACCGAGTGATGTTCCTTACTGTACGCAAGTGTACGTAAGCGCGTAAGTTTAATCTTGCGGAAATTTCCAACTTATTAAATCTTTACCTCTTCACAAAGGTTATTACAAAAGCGATGGGAATAAAACTTTTGTGACCGGGTGTAAAGTTCGGGATTTCAATGTGGAGTTGAGTTTATTGGGTTGCAATATCGCATCGGGCCTCGTTACACCCGTAACGGAGATATCGTTTCGCGAACTCAAAGGCATCGATCCGTACCGCGTCGCAAGTTTCAATTGCACATTCGGCCGTTTTCCGTGAACGCAGCATGGAATGCTGGATACAACAAATGGAGAGAACGGTCGACAAATGGCATTAATAAACTGACCGAAATAAATCGGGAGTGTGTAACGGACGGAAACGTACGTCGTAAATGTTATATTCGAGCAGTAGAACCTGCCAGTATGTGGATTGATACGTCCTACATTCTTCAAAGCTTGTAATAGCTGCAAAAACAACAATCAAGCTGGATTCGGGTTATCTGAACAGGAACGTTTTATGACATTTCTATGTATTTGTTTGTTTCGACTATTTTGGGCCGAATCCACTGTACATCTCTCTCTTATAGTTAATTGTGAAAGCGAAAGAGAGAGAGAAGGAAGGAGAAGGGGAGAAAGAGTGGTTTAACTCAGCTGCAATTTTACATTAATAATATCAATTGCAACCGACACAACTGGTGAATAATGATCTCACTTCGCACGTGAGATGATATTAATTCGTATCTCGGAACTGCAATGACGAGCTAAACCAACGAAGAGATATCGTGGATTTTGCGATATAAACTTTAATTGCGGACCTCTCACAATAGTATCTGGAGATAGATGGATTTGACTGATGGAACTGACTTTGTTATCATCACGTACCAATAAATTCATTCAACGTACAAACCGTAATGAAGAGAGGAAATTCGTTCGGATAACATTGATTTACGATACACGCGCGAAGTGTCCATCGAGCGCTAATACAACCATTGTAAA